GTATATTAATATATTAATTTTTTATATTTTATATAAATTTATATTAAGGAGGACAAAAATTCAAAATTTGCAGTGATTGCAAATCTTTGATGAAATTAAATAACAAATATTAAACTTTATTATTTTGTATAATTTTTAAAATATACTTCTTGTCCTTCCTGTCCTTGTTCTGAAACCTCATCTTAGGCTTCCTGAATTAAGCTAAACTTTTCTGTAGTCTAATTCATAATGGATGCCGGCTTTTAAAACTAAAAAGTACGTTGTGTGAAAAAGTACTGTTATTCGCAATTATTTATATTAACCATTATTTTCATCTATGTGCCAATATACTAAGGGTCAGGTCTGGAAAGTGCCATAAATTATTTAAAATAACAATTTTTTTCTTCTAGTTATGACATTGATTTCAGGCAATATTTTGGGGAAACCGTATATTTTTCAATTACATGTGGGGGCATTATCTGCTGTTTGAAATATTAACAAAATACCTTCCATCCATATTTGACTTTCAAGGGTAATGCAGAATTCTTTCTTTTAATAATATTATTATTTTTCCACCTTAAATAAATTCGATCTGCTTGATAATAATATTTATATTAATACTAACTATTGATATGATAATAAATTTTTCAAGGTATTTAATAAAACAAAATACCACACTATTCATTGATATTTTCAATCCCAGCTGACATTTGAGGTTTTGGGGACTTTGTATGATCTTCATTGGGTGGTGTTGATCCACCCAATACGAGCTCTTCTCTGAAAATTCTCTGAATTTCTAATTGTTAATAAAATTCTTCTCATTATTTAATTTTCGTAGTATTCATTTTTTATTAGTGTTTTTATTTTTTGAATAGTAAAATATATCCAAAAGATGACAATAAATTCTAGTCTTCCATTCCTGAAACTGTGATAACGTTTTTCTCTAAATTTTTATATTTCTTTTTGAATTTTCTTCCTTTTAAAAAATTCACCGGGTCCACAAATAGCCTACAATACCTTTCTTTCTTTCAATAAATATTCGATTGGTGTTTTATTATTTATTTCATGAATTAAAATTAAGAAAATACATTTTTCTTTGGACAAATTTATATTGATTTCTATTTGAATGAGCAACTATTTGTATATATTTCATTTTAATCCGATCTTTTTTTACTTTCTAAACCTTTCTCCCGCATTCCTAAAGACGTGGTAGGAGATTTACTTTTTTTTAGGAAAATGTTGCATTGCACTCCCAGTTTGTTTTGCTTTCGATTATTTTTTCTGTTACCGTCGTTGGAAAAAAAAAACCAACTTGCGCTGCTAGCACTTCTCGTTCGGGTAGTCACTTATTGCACCCAAAGAATGTGTATTTTGTGATGTTTTCCTCAACTCAACTGAATGAAATAGAAGTTGACTTCGCCGAAGTCCCTTGCTAGCAAGTTTTTTAGCTCTGGAATGAGCCTTGCGCTTCATCGTTCGCGATTATATGACACCCAACATCGCTGCTGTCTTCTATTTTAATCTAATGGTAGTGCTTGATTCTTTTTTGTTGATCATTTATATCTATTATAATTAATTTTCTAATTATGTCATGCTATCCATTATCAGTTTGTTCACACTATTTACAGCTAAACTTAATTAAATTGACTGTATCGTTTGAAAATCGCATCTTGTTTTTTAACCAAAATTTAATTTTTGAGGATTCTTCAAAATTGATGACGTTACTACCTTTGGCAAGGGCATAATCTTAAAAACTTATTCCAAGTTCATTTGAATACATTTAATTAAAAAAAATGTATTGTGTCAAGTCTAAAATTATTGTATTATGGTATAAGGAGCGCTTGAACCTCAATTTCCAGACTTAACCATGCATATGCAGCACTCTTTGATCACTATCTGCTTGTAACTATTTATGTAGTGACGGATTGAAGCACAAATACCATCATCCATCTCGCATAGCCAGTGAACACTATTGTCTTTTCGCAAAGTAATAACATATCTCAATTTTCGTTTCACGGATTTATATCATTTTACAGACTTTACTATATTAATATTTATTGGTTTAATATATCACGCTATAAAAACCATCTAAAATTCTACTTAAATCCTTTTTCATATTGTTATATTTTAATATATTAAAATTCAAATGACATCTTTAATAAGATAAGATAAAAAATTATATAAAACATAGAGATTCTATTATAATCTTACGATTAATATTTGTTAAAGATAACATGTACCTTGTATGTTATTTAATTATTTGCAAATAATTTTTTCAGCTTTTTAGGGGTCGAACTCATGCCCTAAAAAACTTATAGACTTACTTCTTCAGAATTTAAAAATGAAAATTTTGTTCGATCTATAATTATAATATATCCGTACCTATTTTACTTCTTCTTCCTCAATTCTTATATGCTATTCTTATATGTTTAGAAAAATAATTGTTTTTAAACATTATTAAATTGTTTATATATTGAACGTATTGAGTTTGCTCAATTAAAATGATATAATTTTCAACTTTGTTAGGATCGGAGTTTCAATAGCGCCCGATATATTAATTGAATGATTTTGATGTATTATTGTCTACACATCATACTTCTTAAAAACTAATATATTGAGTGACCTTTCAAGAACTTTGTTCCAATATAATTTATCCTTATGAATATAAGAATTGAAAGTACCAATGATTGTTTTTAAATAAATTTTAGTATCCAAGTTATCACTATATAATAAGATTATTTTGAAAATTTCAATAAATTCATCACAATCATTGCTGATCATTATAAAGTTTATAATTTAATTATATTTTTTTTCCATTATAATTTTTACATATTTATTATAATTTTTGATTACATTTATAATAAAGAATATATGTTTGAAAACCTTATAAATGTCACATAAGTTTTGAATTTATATATGAGTCAATCCATGTAATAATCTTAATCTTGCTATAATATACTTCCTGTCACTGATAACAAATTTTCTGTAAAGGAATTTTTTTGAATACCTTAAGATTCCATAAAGTGGTAAAATGTTAAGTATACCATTATTTAAATAAATTCATAGTACTTATTATAGTTACCTATATATATAGTGATCTGAGCTTCCATTATATTGAATGTAATAATAATGAAATAATAAATGATAATGATAATAATAAATAATAATTGTTCAAATAAAAGAAGATTCTGAAGACACGCTAATACTGCAAAGAAGTGTTCATTGGTTTATATCATTTCCGTAAAAATTTCTATGATTAGTAATAAATGGGAACGACATTTAAACTCTTAAAACAATTTGTTTCTAGAAACACATTCATTACTTAAATTATTAGAGTCTGACATTAGAAAAATTTCATATCAATGACGCCAGCATCTTTTTAATTGAAATATGTTTATCTTTAATGAACAACTGGAATATTTTCAACAAAATAATCATTAGTAATAGTCATTATAAGCATCAACGATTTTAACTAGAATGCATTGTATTATAGTTATTATTTATTATTATTTATATATTATTTGTATAAATAATTAATATTATTATTTGTATAAACATTAGGTCTAACTGTTAAACGAGTCACTAAAAAGACATTTCCCTTTAATCTAAAAATGGAAAAATATCTTATATACCATACATAACAAAATCATTAACTAATTTAAACATACACATATAATCTCCAACCATATGACGGTGCACGTTTATCAAACACGTAAATAATATTAAGTTAGACCAAACGGGAAATCTCCTTTTACGATTATTGACTCATGACTTACTACCTCAGAATAGAATAAAATGGATATAAACAATTGATCTTTTATGTTGCAATAGACCCTAACCGAATAGAAGACATTCCGCTTTTCGAATGATATAAAGAATGTCAGCCTCTGACGCCCTCTTAATGTCAGAAGGGTATTTCTCGGCCTAGTGACCTCCTCCTGGCCCAGATCAAAGCTAAGTAGTCACAGGGAATGTGACTAGAAGTCTCATCTGCTTCTAGGCAGAGTTGGAAATCTGTCTCTTCGGACAGACCTGTTAAGGTTTGGACTGCGTTGTGATAACGCAGTCCATTATGATCCATTAAATATCCCACCATCAACCTCAACTTTGTGTGGCTAAAGGAGAATACCTTACCTTTTTACCTTCAAAGGCATTAATCAAGCACCAATGTTACCTGCTCGTATTCTGCCAGTACCAGAAATCATATTTAGTACGTCTAATTGATTTTCAATAAATCGAATGAGTCCAACCTGCAATAAGTTTTAAACCAAAGAATATTGTGTTCTTTATCAGTAACCCAAATTTCAACCAGTTAGGTCAATATTATTACAAAACTTTCTGTAAAGATGTTACTATATATCTCAAAAACTGCGGGATATCATTCTTAATTAAATATAACTAAACTATATAATTATTAATTTAAATAGTATTTTAAATAGTAAGTAAATTACATTTACTATTAATCTTTATTTGCTCTTAATAATAAGTACCAAATAGTATAATTAAGTTCAAGAATAAAGAAATGCTAAGTGTCTAAAAGATTTAAAAATTACATAGAAAGTAAATGAAAAATTTACATAGGAAGTATATAGAATATATGGAGAGTTTTCCTCTCATACTTTTTTTTATTAGAAATGGTAATAATTCGTATGTTGAAAACTATTTTTATTGAATTATTTTATAAGATTGTAAGAATAATAAACTAGAAAAAACTTAACATAAGATTATTTATAATATTATAATATGATTAGTTTTTTATATATTTATTTATTTATGTCATTTGATATATTTAGAAACTTGAGCATTTGAAATTTTTAAAATACACATAATTGTTTACAATAATTTAATAAAAATTTTTGTATTTTCTTATTTTCAGATTTAAATAAATAAATATAAATATCAAATTTATTTACACTGATAAAACCACCGATACTCATATTTACCCACATGTCAATATAATTGAGCACAATTCGTTTTATGTATTAAATGTTTAAAAACATTTAAGCGGTTGGATACTTACAGCAAAATAAATTTTGGAATTATTATCCTACAGTGCTATTAAATAAAATATATATTTATGATGATGGGGCCATGAGCCCATCATTATTTGAATTGAATTGGAGTCGCAAGCGCGTCTCAAGCGGGCCTGCACCATGCTAGCACCGCCGAACCCGAGGTCAATATGCGGCCAGGACCCGGGCTGGTCGTGATGGCGCTTGCGTTTATTTCGGGGGCTCGGCGTGGCAGCACCAGCACCAGTTCAAAGATATCATCATCATCAACATCGTCGTCATCGTCTTCCTTTACGTCAACATCCAATTCGGAGGCACAAATATCTTCGACTTCGATATTTCCATCATATTTAGGTGGAGGAGGTGTGCTAACACCTACCGATACACCAACCACCCACCAACGCGAACGCACTTTTCACTCCACCAACGAAAATACAAACACAAATAATAATAATAATAATATTAATAATAACAATTTTTATTATTCTAACTATCCCCCGCATGCGTTAATATTGCCAGAACATTTAAGGCAACATTACGATAATCCACGTGCTAGAGCGGATACACTTTCTCCCTCGGGTTCCTCTTCACGTGTTACTAAAGAAACAAGAATAGCACGTAGTATAAGAACAGCAAATTCAAAAGACGATCGCTCCAGTGATATAGTAGGACGTGCCGGTGGTGGCACAATAACTGATAGCGATTTAAGTGATAGCTCTGTAGCCGATAGTAGCACTAGCGAAGGTACATCCGAAGGTTTACTTGTACAATTCCCTTCACATTCAGCTGATTCCTCAAGGTCCTTTGACGAGGACGATATATTTGCCTTAGTTGCTGAGGACGATCTTCTATCAGAAGAGTCCTTTGATCGCCTTTCAAGGTTAACAAACGACAAAATTAGTTACATAAACGAAGAGGATTATAGTAGTACCGAAGGTGGTGGTGGCAGCGGTGGAAGTGAGAGATCATTTTCAAGTAACGAAAATCAACAGCAAGACGATAGTCATAGTGCCGATGACAATAGTGTGGGTGGGGGTGGGAACATATATGCAGCAAATTTAGTTACCAACGACGAGACTGCAGCAGTTGCAGAAACTGAACATCCAAACAGTTTGAGTAATACTGCTAAGGTAGATAACACAAATACCGAGCTCAAACGATCCATATTTGAGAGCGAGTTTCCAATAACACGTCTTAATCCGTGGATATCCGCTTGCGATCTGGCACAACCTGGAACAGCTCCAGATTTACAGGTAAGTGAAAAGTTGAATTCATTGTCTTAAATATAATATATTATATATTGAAATATGTTTTTGATCAGTTAACAAATATTAAATACCAAATAGTAAACATGTATATAAACATGTATATTAAGTTTTGACAGCAAATGGTATTACTATATCTGGTATAGATATATCTATATTTAGTTGAAATGGTGTCTTTGTATCTGATATAAATACATTTATATTTAGTATATACAAGGATACCATTTATATATATAGATATTATATATGTAGACATATATATAAATAGATCTATATATATAGATATATATATAGGCATTTATATATTTAGATACAAAGATACCATATCATATCTTTGTATCTGGTTTAGATATGTTTATATATATCTTTCTAATTCGTTCACTTCCACCTTCAAGGTTACCATTTTCTTAAATTGTCTAAAATGTATCGGGAAGCGGCAAATTCAACTTTGTATCGTTTTCTTCATGCCGTCATCCTGAGAGCTCTTTCATTGCACTAGACATGACTATGATAAAATAAGGAGAGTTACTCAATCTCCTCAACCGCTTCTAGTAAGCCATCTAGTAGGTTTGCTATCCATGCCAACGTTATGACTTCCTGAAAGTTTGAGTTGTTTGAAGATTATCGAAGATTAAAGGACATATTATTATGATATTATTATTTATTATGATATATATTCCAATATCAAGTGTCGTTTCAGTGCCAATTAATTACTAAAACCATTTCAATTTAGTATTTAACTTAGGTGTAAATTTCAAAACTTATATTCTCATCTTTGATTCTCTGGAAAATTTTATTGGATCATCCAAAGTAGGAGTAAGATGTCTAGTCAGCATTTCCTAATTAAAAAAATTAAATTTATATTTTTAACCGTAAAAAATGCTCTAATCATCTTAATTAATAAGACAATAAATATTTATATTCTTAAACTTATTAAATCACTATAACTTATTAAAAACTCTAAAGGACCTGGGTGATAGATTTCAGTAGCCTAAGAAATATAAAATAATATATATGACAGACAGATAAATTGAGATAATATAATATAATATTATTACACAAAAATGAAATCTTAACAATAAATGTTGTTCTTGTTGTGAAATTAAAAAAATTGTAATGAGAATTGGAATATCAGAGATTACTTCAACGAAATTTCTCGATTTTTTTTATTTCAAGACCAGAAAAGAAAAGAAATTGAGTGTTTAATAATTGGGAGAAGAAAAACAATTGTCAATGCAGTAAATGTCATATCACTGCAATGACAATTTTATTTCTTTTCATTTCTATTATATGAATGTAAGTCTGTCAGTCCTAATCACCGTTCTGAATTATTGAAACGGCTTTAGGCTGGTCATCATATACTCCCCTTCTTAGATTACCACACAGTCTGCTTTCCTTACAATTGCATAAGCACATGGACAAGGACTCCATGCTTTATCGACACCAATGACAATGTCGATTGTTTGCGGATTGTTCCATCATTGCTAGAATATGCAGCATTGCAGGATTGCAGCGCCGATCATAGATTCAACCATTTTTAATCATTTTCATGCAATTGCCTCCAGCATATTTGTGGGACTTAGAACTAATAAAAAATTGTGTAAAAATGAAAGAATCCAACTTCAATTGATTTTCTATAGACACAATCACTCTGAATTGATGGCAATACTTTTCAATTATGCCCACACGCCACTGCCAACATTTTCAACTTCATATCTTGCAGTTTGTGGCTGTTATTCAGAGCTTTTTAGTTATCATTCTTTATCCTTTCTAAGAAGCACAGAAGCACTGCACTTAAGTCTCAATCGTGAGGGTTTTTCATGCTGATTGTGTATGCAAAGTGTTTGTGGCAGTTTTCCTTCAATGCAACACTCGATCTCATTCTGAATGACTTTTGATGCCTCAATTCAACACTCGACAAACGTATCTGAAGCCAAATAGCAATTGTTCAGCTGCTATTTTGAGACATTTTATGATTTGTTTGGCATTTCTTTTGAAATGTTTCCAAAAGGTAAATGGCTAAACAGCGAACTGAATTAAAATGCCAACTTCCATTAAAAATATAAATTGATGTAAAATACTGTTCCAATTAAGATTTGTTTTATTCAACAACCTACATAAGAAAAATAAATTTTCTACAAAAAAAAAAAAATAATAATATTAAAAATCTTAAAACCTAATTTGAAATGAATCTATTTATTTATGAATAAAATATTGATTATTCTTTGAAAAACACTAACCCATTTAACTAAACTGGAAAACAATATTTAATAATTGTATGTTATAAGAATTTTATGTCTTATGACAAGAAATTTATTTTATAAATAAAATAACGTGGCAATAGTGAAAAAAATATCAACTCCACAAGAATTTTTTTCAAAGCAATCAAATTCCAAGGCTCACCACGCAGCTATTTCGGATACCGCCAAATATCCATCACTATTGTTTTTTAGAAAAATCTATTAATTTTTGCATATATGATTTTTAAAAAGCGCAATTTAATCTTAACTAATATTTAATTTGGTGTCAAGACCTCCAATCACTAGACTCTCTCACGATCATGGGCCAGTAACCATTTCTGTGGTTGCCAGCCCCTACCTTAAGTATATTGCCGGCAAATTGCTCAGTGTTAAAATTTACGTTTAAAATCTCAAGTACTTTCAGCGAACTTACGGTCCATCTGTTTATGTCAACTTCATCACAAGTACCCCATCCCTCCGCGCATATTCAATTGATTCGGCCGTTGCTTCACGTATGAAGATAGTGCCTTTCGAACACCCTTGACAACGCAAAGCAGCATCGGCAATACCCGAATTCAGTGGTTATTAACCAATGGAAATGTTAATATATGTTTTATATATACCTATTAGAATACTTGACCGTACCTAGTATATATAATGGCATAAAATAATGTATCTGTTATCAAACATATATTTATCATACATCATAATTATGAAGTAATTAAATAAAATTATTTAGATTTAGATTTACTAACCTGTGAGTATAAATTTGTCTGTATCTATATATTTATATATATATATATATATAAATGTCTAAATGTCTATTTGTTTATTTTTTTATTTTCTATTTCAATCTTTTAATTCTTAAATCTTTTATGCTTTCTAACATACCATATTGCACCTAGAATTCTTATTGCAATAATATTCTGGTAAATTTAAAGTAATTTAATAATAGGATTTCTTCTGCCTCTTAATAATACCTTTTTAAAAACATTTAATAAAATATTTCTCGAATTACCAGTAAATCCGTTCTAGTTTTCACATAGTTAACGAATGAATTATTAAGTATATGCTGACGAATAGTCAATATATCGTATTGATAAACCTGGATGTATCGCTGTTCCTTAATTTATAGTCTTTTCAAACAGACGTAATCAAGTTAATTAACTCCGTGGAGCGGATTTAAATGCTTACACCTACTATTAAGCATGTTCAAACTTATATGTTTATTGCTTTATAAAAAGTTTATGGAAATAAAAGCTTATAAAATAGATAAAAATTTTATTTTTATAAAAATAAAAAATTTTTTATAAAGAGGTTTCGAAAAGTAATGAACTACAACAACAAAAATTCTTTGTTTTATTATTTTAATTAATTGCATTTTTGATTCACCATACAGCTGTTTCGAGTATTACCAAATACCTATCATCAGTGGTCATGGAAATGTTTCTTATATTTAATTATTTGTAATTGTAATTTTTTGAGACTGAAAATACCAACTCGTATCCTGCCCAATTTTAAACTTAGAGTCAGCGTTCATAAGCCAACTAACCTAAAGCTACACTTTACTTGTATATACGCTGTTTGGACTCTTGTTAATTTGCTCTAAAAGTTGATTTATAAATACACTTGCTGTGTCATATTAGAATAAAATCGTACACTAGCTGTGGAATAATTGAATTAATTAATTATATTTATATATTTTTTTTTAATTGTTAAATTTCAGTAGTTTTCTTGTTGTAGAGCCATTATTTTGTTTTAGCTTGCTTTTGTTTTAGCCGTAATGTTTTCATTCAGAGTAGCAAAAAAATACTCGCAACTTAAGAAAAAAAGACATATGAAGCAACGACAATACTCTTAAAATCTTCAGAGTTAGATTTTACTCAGAAAAATGTTTACAACTTAAGTTTCAGTGCAGCCAAATTCAAAAATTAGTCTAATATGAATGTTCATTGAAAATAAATCCAGTCATTCGTTAAAATCGTATGAGCATTTCATTTACTAATAATTTCAAATACATAAATAAATAAATTTGTATATATAAGATAAAAATCTTTACCAATGCCCTTCAAATATTCATTTTGTTTTCTTTTATTTAAAATTATTAATTTTTAGTGTACAATTTTAATATTTCATATTGTACACAATATAACAAAAAACTTTTGTCAAGAATAAGCATTTAATATATTGCGAAAGTGATGTCAATTTGTTTCAACCAGACTTAATGTTATTTTTTTACAACTCTGAAAGCAAACATTACGGCTATTATTCTTTCTTGTGTACAGAACCTAATATAGGAACGTATTAAGAAGAGAGTCATGCTAATGGTACTCCACGATTCGTACAAGCGAGTCTATATGTTTTATAAGTGATAATAATTTTATAATACATAATTTTTTTATTTTTTTTAATATAAAACTTTTCAAAAAACGGAAACATTTATAAAGATGAACTCACAATTACTCTAAATTAAACATGTTCAGTCTATTTGGTGGGAAATGTTTTCGTAAAGACTTTTCATATTAAACTTGTTTAGTCAATCATAGTGATAGTCAAAGTCAATATAATTTCATTTCCTCCATGTACCTTATATTAGTACTACATGATTTAATAACCTATTTCATCTATTCACTAATTTTATCAGTTTAATTCAGTAAAAATTAACATGCAAAACTTCAAAGACTAGTTTTTAAATATAAATCTATAGAGTCCACATAGCCAAACTTTGGTGAAATTTTTTTAAGTACT